CCTCTGTTAGGATTATTCACGCACCATGCATCTCCCCTTCCAGGCTGCAAACTCCCAAGTTCCAACTCATGCTTTCGGTGAAGCTTTATTTTTTTATTTTTTTATTTTTTTGATCCATCTCCTTCTTTCCCCAAGCACCTGGTACACTGCCCAGCAGCTCACAAATGGGTACTATTGCAAATACTGACTGGAATGGGGGAGTGACTGGTAAGGGCCTGAACAGTTTGGAAGATGTTATGCAATGACATTTTTGAGCACTGACTGGTGCCAGCCACTTTAATCCATCATCTTCTTTTCTTTTCACAACAGACCTATAAGGCAGGTGTTACCATCTGTCTTGGGTCCTTGAGTGGTGCACATGGTTAACACACTCAGCTGCAAACTGAAAGATTAGAGGTTCGAGTTCTCCCAGAGGACCTCAGAAGAAAGGCCTGATGATCCACTTCCAAAAAAAATCAGCCATTGAAAACCCTATGAATTGACAACAGCAACTTGAAAGATTACATAGAAAACTTAGGGGGCAGTGAGTTTATATTGATGAGGGAGGAACAGTGCAGAAAAGGAGGGAGAGAACAGTTGCACAACTCAAAGAACGTAATTAGTGTCACTGAATGTACATGTAGAAATGGTTGATGTTCTGTTGCGTATATTCTCAACAATAACAAAAATATATATATATTTAAATAAAAAACCCTATAGAGCAGTTCCACTCTGACATTGACAAACATGGGGTTGCTGTGAGTCAGAACTGACTTGACAGCAGCTGGTAATAGTTGATGATAGTATACGTCATCCTCACATTACATATGTGAAAATGGGCTCAGAGAGGTTAAGAAACTTGCTCCAGGTTGCACAGCCAGAAAGGGCTGGAGCCAAGAAGGAAGCACAGGTATATTCAACACCAACGTCTCTCATCTTTCCTTCTCTCCACCCTGTGCCTCCATAGCTTTTTCCAGACCACGGGGGCGTGTGATAACCAGATGTGACTTGGAGAACTGGGGACCCTGCACAAAACGAAGATAAGTCTCAACTATATAATGTAATTAATGGCTCACCAAGCAGTGTCCTTCTGAAGAGGCCCTTCTAGACTTTCCTTAATGAATCACTAAAGACATGAGCACATGCCTGGTTTGCATGAAGCTTAGCCAAAAAGCCTGGAAGTTCAGCCAAAAGTCTTTGAAAGTAATTAGTTCACTTAAGTAGGCTAAATGGTTCCCTGGCAATCTAGTTTACACTTTAATTGGCTTAGAGTCTTAGAGAGGGTGAAAAGGTAAACTTTAATCCAGCCCTTTGGAAATATTTCCCACTCATCTTGGGGACAAAACACGTCCCCTTAGGCTGTTTGCCCTGTGAGGGAAGCAGGGCAGGGGATGTGGGCATTCCACCAACAAGGAAAAAACTAAAACCAAACTCACCGCTGCTGAGTCGATTTCGATTCATAGCGACTGCCACTGGGTTTCCAAGGCTGAAAATTTTTATGGAAGCAGATTGCCCTATCTTTGGTGAAGCAGCTGCTGGGTTCAAACCATCAACATTTTGATTAGCAACCAAATGCCTTAACCAGTACACCACCAGAGCTTCTTAATAAGGGAAAGGGAAGTTCACTAATAGTTTCTGAATTACTGAAGCTTTAATCTTACCATGTCATCTGGGAGGAGCTCGAGGGGCTCCTAGAGTAGGTCATTTCATGGACTGTTTCCTTTCCTTCCCCTTTCCGAAGGCCCTGGAGATAGATCCTGTATCCTGCTCCTCAGAGCTGGCTCCATCCTGTCAGCTATTGGGGTTTCCTTCTCTCAAGGCAGACCCAAGTGTGGGTGGAGATGGGCTTGGGTGGGGCTGCCAAGGCCGAAAACTAGCTTCAGACCTGAGGGCCAATAAATTGGCACACACACCTCTCCACTGAGGAAAGTAATGTTCTCTCCTCTGGCCCCTCAATTCCCAACCCTCAATCTTGTCTTTACTTGGCCAAATCTTCTCCAAGAGAGAGGAGGAACAGGTCCTTTTGTTGTTTAAACAGAAACCAGGGACTACCTGGACCTTCTACCCGATAACTCAGCTCTCCTCTTCCTCTCTGCACCTGAAAACAAGTCCCTGTGGGAGATCAGCAAGGGAAAAATGAAGGAGATATGGGAAAGAGAAAAGGCCTCCACATCCTGTCACCCTCTGCAGGCCGAGCTCCCTTTCCTAATCCAGTCATTCTTTGAACAGCCATTTAAGAACCTACTACGTGAGGGGAAGACCTTCAGTGAGGTAGAGTGACACAGTGGCTGCAACGATGGGCTCAAGCCCAGGAAGGACTGTGAGGATGGTGCAGTACCTGGACACGTTTCATTCTGTTGGATGTTGGGTCACTATGAGTCAGAATCAATTTTATGGCACCTAACAATAACAACATGTGCCAGGCGCTGTTTTGGGTGCTCATAATATAATAGTGACTGAAGCACATGAAAATCTCTCCCCTCACAGAACTGGCAGATGACCAAAAAAAAAAAAAGTAAACCAGAGTATGATAGACAGTGAAAAGTGATAAGGAGGAGGGGAAAAAAAGAGAAGGGAAGAGGAGTAAGAAGTGTTGGAGAGGTTGCAATGTTAGACTGGGTGGCCAGAGAAGTCAAGATCTGAGGGAAGCATGGATCAGGCCATGTGCGCATCTGGAGAAAGAAGGAAAGCAAATGCAAAGGCCCTGAGGCAGGAAGAGGCCAGTGTAGCTGAAGTGGAGTGAGTGAGGGTATGAGTGGTAGGAAATAAGATCAGCCAGGTAAAGGAAGGCAGATAAGTGGGGCCTGGTGGGTCATCATAAGGACTGGTTTTGTGAGATGAGAGCCATTGAAGGGCTCTGAGCAGAGGAGAGACAGATCTGACTTGGATTTTAACAGGATCCTTCTGGCTGCTGGTAGGGAACAGAGTGAAGGAACCTAGGAGAGCCCCACAACCTACTCAAGGTCTCTGTGATCCTGAGAGTGGCCCTTCAAGCCTGATCTCTCCTCATACACTCCATCACATTGGACCTTTTGTCATCCTATGGCCCCAGCCCTCAATAGACTGCTGTGAACCGGTGAAGTCACACAGTCTCCTTCCCTCTCTCAAGGAAGAGAGGCTCCTCACTCTTTGCACCCCACCCAGAGTAATCCTCCTGTATAGCTATAGGGTGTGGGAGAAGCACTCCTTCAATTGCTTACTCATTCACCTGGCGAAGCCATAATTGGTTATGGAGCATGAATAATCAAAAACTAAACCAAACTCACCACCATCATGTTGATTCCGACTCACAGTGACCCCCTTTGGGTTTCTGAGGTGGTAAATCTTTATGGAAGTAGATTGCCCAGTCTTCCTTCCATGGAGTGGCTGGTGGGTTTGAACCACCAACCTTCTGGTTAGCAGTCAAATGCCTTAGGCACTATGCCACCCGAGCTCCTTAAGATCATGAATAAGGACCAGAAAATAAACAAGCCTAGGTCTCTACCCTCCAGAAGCATTACTACAGACTGATGGGTGAAAGCTGCCTTTTGGATTCTGCATCCAGCAACCTCCGGTGAGTATGGCCTGGGCCAGTGCAAGGTATCATGGGATACTGACCACAAACCTAGGGCCCCAGGATGTCAAGGATGTATGTACATGACCAAGAAAGCTCTTGAGATAAATGGTATATTCAATAGGTCTGAGAAAGTGGGGAGGATTTCAACAGACAAGGAGGAAGCCTAAGGACGGTTGTCATGGATTGAATTGTGTCCCTTGAAAATATATGTCAACTTAGCTAGGTCATGATTCCCAGTATTGTGTGGTTTTCCTCTATTTTGTGATCTGATTTAATTACCCTCCATGTTGTTATGTGTTATAAATCCTAACCTCTATATGTTAATGAGGCAGGATTAGTGTGGGAGTGTATTTTGAGTCAGCATCCAAGAAGAGGCTAGTGACTAAAGTCACAGCCTTGCTTGAGTCACACTTTTTATCTTACAAGAGACAAAAGGAGAGAGAAGGGAGCAGAGAGGAGAGGGACTTCACTACCAAGAAAGAAGAGCTGGGAGTGGGGCATGTCCTTTGGACCTGGTGTCCCTGTGTTGAGAACCTCCTAAACCCAGGAGAAGATAGATGCCAAGACACATGAAACTCTCTAAGGAACCAGAAAGCAAAAGAAACAAGAGCCTTCCCCCAGAGTCTACAGAGTCAGAAAGCCTTCCCCTAGAGCTGGCACCTTGCATTCGGACTTCTAGCCTCCTAAACCATGAGAGAATAAATTTCTGTTTGTTAAAGCCATCCACTTGTAGTATTTTTGTTACAGCAGTACTAAACAACTAAGACAAAGGCACCTGGAAGAAGGAATAACAGGAGCAAAGGCCAGAGGCAGAAAAACACAAGAGTCCTGCAAGCAAGGGGGTGTGTCCCTTGCCTGATAAGGTAAATAAATAGGGGTGGGGGATGGAGTAGAGACAAGCTTGGAAAAGTCCTGGGTCATGGTGGGGCTTGGAAACCAGGCTAAGGACTGAGACTTGATTCAAACCAGTGAGGAGCCACTGAAAACATCTGAGAAGAGGAATCACCTAAATGAAGGTGTGTTCACAGTGCTCAGAAACCATAGGAAGGCAAGGATGGTTTGTTCCATGAACTAGAAAACATTCTTGAGAATTCTTGCTATAGGACAGAGTGCTAGTTGTTGTACCTATCAGACAAAGAGGCCACAGGGGGCTGGAGTGCCTTGTGTCTTCCTCCTGACACTGGGGCTCCCTGAAGGTAAGGTTGGGGCTCCCTCAGGGTAGAACTGTGTCTCCCTCTCAGACTGGGGGTTCCTGAAGACAGGAACCATCCCCTCCATCTTCAATCTCTTCCTGCTACAGAAGGGACAAGATTCCACCCTCTGTACACCTTTATAGCCTTCATGGAATCGGGATAGGACTTAGATGCTGCATATTAGGAGAAGTCATTCCAAACTTAAAGACAGACAGACAGATAATCAAGGCCCAGGCTAGTATTTCCAGAGCTAGGAAAGGGGTTGTACATACCTCCCGCCACTGCTTGTTCTCCATTCCTTGAGTATACATGACACACACTGTGGGGAGAGGAGAGCAAAAGGTAAACACCACAGACCAAAAGTAAGTTGGAGGTCCCAGGTGGGAAGGGCTCTGGATCAAAGGGCCCCTCAGGAAACTGGGGCCTAGATGGCACTGTGAGATCTGTGGGGAAGAGGGTGTTTCCTGAAGTGTCAGGGGTCTTGGTAGGTGGATCTAAGAGTCTGGCCCACATGCCTGGGCTATGAGGGTTCTCAAGGAATCAATTAATTCACAGGGGTCAGCTTAGCAAAGGAGGCCTAGAACACAAGTAAGCCTAGGAGGGAGGTCAGAGGTCATTACATGTAGGCAAGAGCATGGGTCTGAAGTGTGAGGCAGGTAGACAGTGGGCATAATGGAGGACATGGTGGCAGAGGAGGCCATATGAAACCCACATTGACCCTTTAGAGCCCAAAGCAGCCACACGAAGTAAGGATGGCTTATTATTATCATCAGTTCAACTTTATTGATGGGGAAACGGCTCAGAGGAGGCCAATGACGTGCTGTGTCATGGCTTCACAAATACAAGGAGTATGATGGAGCAAACCCCACAGTTCTCTTTCTCTGGTCAGCATCAGTGAAATATTAAGTAGCCTTTATACACTTGGAACAGTGCCTGGCACATAGTTAGCACTCCAAATCCAAAAACTCTGTTGCTATCGAGTTGATTCCAACTCATAGCGACCCTATAGGACATCACAGGGTTTCCAGAGCTGCAAATCTTTATGGAAGCAACCAGCCACATCTTTCTCCTATGGAGTGGCTGGTGGGTTTCAACTGCCAACCTTTCAGTTAGTAGCCAAGCACTTAACCACTGTGCCACCAGGTAAGGGCTAAATGTTCACTGCTGCAATTAGTCATAATATTGCCATTGTTATTGTTACTGAGTTATTGTCAGAGCAGGACTTACGTGGGTCGGACTTGGAAAACATGTCTTTGTCCAAGAGGTTCCTGAAAGAGGGGGAGAGAGGAGTTAGCAGGGTTCTGAGGGGAAGGGATGACCTTAGGGATTACGCTGTCACTGAGACCAAGAGGTTGCTTCTGGCCTGGCCTAGGGCAAAACAGGAAGAAAAGGAGGCTCCTTTGGCAAATGTTTATGAGACTTCCATTAAAAGCCAGCACTGGGTGGGCCCTGGAGGGCCCTCAACTCCACTTTTCTAACCTAAACTGTACTTCTATCTTCCACCCCCACACCATCACCACACATTCTCCCGGCACCCTGGTACCTAGGTCCCACAGGCCCTCACTCTCATTCCAAACTCCAATCTGCCCAATGGTTTAGCCCTTTCTAAAAATTCTTCTCTTACCACTTCTCTTTCAAAAAGAAATCAAGTCATCAAAACATATCCTTCCAGTCCCTCATTCTCTCTGGGTTCTGCTTCCCACTAGTCTACTTATGATCATCTCCCCTCTGCTGATGGATTAATGAATTGCCCCTCCCAGGGTCACATACTCATTGGGGCAGGGTCTTTCTGTGGTCAAGGCAGTCTGCTTCCACAAAGATTTATAACCTTGGAAACCCTATGGGGCAATTTCACTCTGTCATACCAGGTCGCCATGAGTCAAGTTTATTCTACGGCAATGAGTCTGGTTTGGTTTTTTGGTCAGACTTGAAGGCACTGCAGCAAGATGATGGACACAGTATCCGGGGACAAAGGTCTTTGAACACATATCAGCTAACTCCAAACCTCAGAGCTCAAGGGAAGACTCGAGAACCTCAGCTCCCATTCACTGAACCCCAGTGATGGGTCAGGCAGTACCTTAAGGTTTTGCAAATATTAGCTCCCAATTCTCACACTGTCCTGAAAGATGGGAGTTGGGTAGGGATGGCCCTATTTTATGGATGCGGAAGCTGAGCCTCAGGAAGATCATTCCACCAGCGACCTGCTGCTGTCAGGAAGCAATAAAGCCCTGTGGAAACTTGGTCTCTGGCTAGGAAGTGACTCAACCTCACTGAGCGTGTTTCCTCGTCTGTACAATAGCACCAGCCTTGGAGGATGTTGATGCTCTGTTGGTACCTCAGCCTGCATAATTCCTATATATACCCATGGTTTCCTCCTGTGTCTACTTCACCCCTGAGGGCTTTCCGTGGGAGGCTGGCTGCAAGTACCAAAAGGTTTTGTACTCCCTCAGCCAATGATGAGCAGGACTTTGGGCAATAACAACCAGCTTCCTCACTCCTCCTGGGAGACAACTCTGAAGTGTGCTTTACAGTGTCCCTGAGGTTCCGGCAGGATCTGCTCATTATGGCATCTTGTGTTGACTCAGTCTACCCTTTTCCAGCTCACTTCTCAGCTCCCCTGAAGGAGCTTCCTGTGAACTCTGCCCCTGCCTCCTCTCCCTCCAATGGCAATTGACTCCTTTGCTAAATTGTCTAAAAGTTAAACTCATCCCCTTCGCAACTACCTCAGCCTTGTTCTACCTCCCTCCCAGATGTTCCAAGGGGTCTTATCACTTTCCCTGTCCACTCCTATGATCCCTCAAGGGTCCCTGTGCCCCTTGAGCCCTTCTTCCCAGAGAAGAGGAAACAATACCGGGTTGTGTTGCTTCCTGTCAGACAACTCCAAATGTCAGAGCTGGATCCTCTGTTCCACCTTCTCCTTGAGGAGGGGGGAGACTGAGGCACAGAGAAGAACAGGGATTGGCTACATCACACAGCAAGGAGTGGTACAGACAGAAAGGTCTAGAAGGAGGCATTTCCCTGAGTGACAGCCTGTCTGGACAACAGTCAACCCCATCGCCCACACCCCTCACCCTGAGGTAGCAGCCAGAGACTGACAGATGGAAAGACAGACTGACAGATGCAGCAGCAACCTGGTGCCAACACATGGCATCCTCTCAAGCTTGCGGATCGTGCTCATGAATCACCCAGGCTCCAGTCCCTGAGCAGATTCCCTGGGAGAGGGATCCCCAGACAGCTGGGGGGAAACCAGCCCCTGGAGAACTTATGCCCCAGCCCCTGGTCAGGTCTCCCCACACAAGGTGTCCACCCTTCCCTGACACATATACCCACCCCACTTGTAAAATCCCCTCTGCTGGGCCCTACCACCCCCTCCACCAGACCTGCTCCCAGTCAGCTGTCACTCTGGAAACCATCTGATAAACCTCCCAGCCCACTGCGTGAGCATCAGATGAAATGATATGCAAGACAGCTTTGAAAAGTGGGCAGCAAGGGCTACATGTAAGATGTCCCTTATATAGGCTCATTCACATGGAGGTGGGCTGGCCCAACAGTGGGCTGACCTTCTCCTGAAGTGGCTAGGTTTGAGGGCAGAGATATCTGTCTTGATTTAAGCAAAGGACAAAAGATGTCCTTTGCTTTGACAAAAGTCACCCCATAGATGACTATGGAGTGGGAGAACCTGAGGCCCTGTGAAGAGCCGGAAAGTCATAAAGAGAGCGAGAGAGAGAGAGAGAGAGAGAGAGAGAGAGAGAGAGAGAGAGAGAGAGAGAGAGAGAGACTGTGTGTGTGTGTGTGTGTGTATGTAGCACTGGGGTTTCTTTTCATTCTATGATAAGATTCTGTAATTACATAAAATCAGAATATTCAAGCTAGAAGGGACCTCAGAGGTCACCTTTTTAACTCCTTTATAAGCTGGGAATGTGAGATTTCGAGTAAGGGCAACTGATTCCTCCAAGCACTAGGTGTTCTCCAAATTTAGGTCTGGAACTCAGGTTTGGTTATGTCCAGGCTAGTGAGAAAGAGAGTAGACTCTGGAGTTCAGCCAGGGTGTGTGTGTTGAAGTCTCCTCTTCAAAGAGAAGCAAGGGAGGGCTTTTCCTGGCCCTGTGCACCTCCCTGCTGGGCCAGAAGCAAACACAGCTGAAATAAGAAACAGAATCCAGCCACCTAGTTTCTAGATGGCTCCCTGTCCAGTGTCCTAAGAACCATCACTAAGCCCTGGAGTGTGGGTCACCTTGGTCCCCCACATCCAAGAGGGTGGGGCACACTCTCCCTGCCACTCTGCTGAAATTCTCCTTCCCATCCCTCTAAGCTGTTACCATCAAGTCAACTCTGACTCACGGTGACCCGTGTTGCAGAGCAGAACTGTGCCCCACAGGGTTTTCATGACGGTGAACTTTCAGAGGCAAAGCACCAGGCTCTTCTTCTGAGGTGCCTCTGGGTGAGTTCAAACCACCAACCTTTCAGTCAGCAGCCACTCACTTAACTGTTTGCATCCTTCTTGGACATCAATGACAGGCATTTCTTCTTCCCCACTCCTAAGCTCTCTCTGGCCCAGAACAGGTGACATTCTGACTTGCAGCATCCCACTGCCATACCCAGCACAGACTGGGGGTGTAAAGACTATGGATGTATCTGTTTCTCATACTGGTTGTGCTCTCTTCCAGGGCGGGGACCCTGCCTCTGCCGCAGGCCAGCCCAGTGCCTGACTGACAGCAGCGTGTGGCAAGCTCAATCAATGAAGGAAGAATCTCTCTCACCTGGATGGTGCATGATCACATGCAGGGCCCACCTCTTATACTTAGTTGTAGTGTGAAAGGGTTAAGTGCATGGGCTCTTCAGTCCGACAAGCTGAAATCACATCCCAGATCTTCCACTCAATAGGCTGTGCAAGTTGGACAGATTATAAGTCTTCCTCATGCCTCATATTCCCCATATGTAAAATTAGGTTGAAAACAGTTCCTCCCTCAGGACTACTAGGAGGATTAGATATGTGGAGCACTTGGGACACAGTCAGGCTCATAGCAGAGCAGTCACTCTCCCGGTTGACACTCAGGCTCACTTGGTGACAAGGGAGAGATGAGTGGGTGTCATGAGCCTCCTCCACCCTGGCTTGACCAAGGAAGCCCAATACCCACTCCTTGAGTCCCATTCTGAAGGGCCCATTGAATTCCCTTCATGGGTGGCTGAGAACAGCCCCTCCCCCTCATCCTAGCCTTGCCCTCTTCTTCAGCCTCTGCCTTCCCTTCCCCATTTCAGCCTTGAGAATGCTGTGCCCCTTTGCCCAGGTCCCTGAACCCCTATGGTGCTCTCTGATCCCTCATCTTAGCCACACCTGTCCCTACGCATCCATCACCCCAACTGCCTGTGCTGGTGGAAGCCTCAGGGCCTGCTGAGCCTCCTCTCTTGGCCTTGGGATAGTAGCTTCACCCACTTGAGCAACAGGCCTCACATTTTGTAGGAATCATCCCTAGTTCCTAGTTGTAAAAATACAGTTTCCTCTGTGTAGTTACAGAACTTCTAATGGTAGGGAAGTCAAGACAACTACAAGACAGAACGGACTGTTCTAAACTTGGGAAGAAATTATAAATCACAGGTAACCTCAAAGAAAAAGGATAAACCTTCACATCAAAATAAAAAAGAGGACCAGTACAAATATTTAGCAAATACTAAAACAATAGCAACGAAGGTAGTGATAACATGGTTCATAAACAAAAGGAGCTCACCACAGAAAATTATGTGGAATAAAGAAATCAACACCATGAAAAAGCACATAACAAAATGAAAGCAACAAATTCATACTTGTCGATAGTACATGTCTGACAAGGAACTTATCTCTACAATTTATAGAAAACTCCAACACCTCAACAACAAAAAGATTAACAATTTAATTAAAAAATGGGCAGAAGACATGAATGGATACCTCACCAAAGAGGATATTCTGGCTGCCAGTAAATACATGAAGAAATGCTCATGGCAAAGAAGAATGAAGAAAACCAAAGATTCATGGAAAGAATTAGTCCTAGTAACTGGTACACCATGCGATCCGCAGCCTATACGACTATGAGACCAGAAGAACTAGATGGTGCCTGGATACCAATGTCAACCACTTGGAAGGGGATCTATGTAGGAGACCCTGGATAGAGAGGGGGAACAATGTGGAACAAAACTCAAAAGCATTTGGAAAAAAATGGTTTTCTGATCTTATAGAGCCTGGTGGAACCACTGAGACTATGGCCCCTTGCTGCCCTTCAGGTCTGGAATTGAAC